TAAACTGGACACTTGATTTGTAGTCCTAGCTACTCGGGACACTGAGGTAGGAAGATCACTTGAACCCAGGAGTTTGAATCTAGCCTGGGAAACACAGGGAGACCCCATTTTTAGAAAAGAAAAAAAAGTGAAAACCATTTGTGGTGATAAGAATCTGGATAATAGTTACTTCTGATAGTGGGTAGTGACTAGAAGAGGATATAAAGAGAATTTCTGGGGTGTGGGCTACCAAGGTGTATGCATTTTGTGTTATAGATAATCAAAAGTTTACTTTAAAATACATATTTATTGAGTTTTATTTCATTTATATAATGTTCAAAAGCAGGCCGAATTAAGCAAAATATTTTAGTGATGTATACAGATAGTTCACTTTTTATAAAGCATGGAAAAATATTGATTGGGATGAGGAAAGGGATATGATAAAAGGGACAGACATATAGGAGCTTCTAAGATACTGACAATGTTCAATTTCTTCTTCTCCTCCTTCTTCTTCTTCCTCCTCCTCCTCTTCCTTTTTTTTCTTTTTTTTTTTTTGAGTTGGAGTCTCTCTCGTGTTGCCCAGACTAGAGGGTAGTGGCACATTCACAGCCACTACAATCTCGACGTGCTGGGCTCAGGTGATCCTTCTGCCTCAGCCTTCCAGGCACACACTACCATGCCCGGCTAATTTTTTGACTTATTGTAGAGACAAAGTCTCACCATGTTGTCCAGGCTGGTCTCAACCCACAGGCTCAGGCAATCCTCTCGCCTCAGCCTCCCAAAGTGCTGGGATTATAGGTGTGAGCCACCGCTCCCGACTTTTTTTTTTTTTTTTAAGAGAAAAGTCTTTCTCTGTCACTCAGGCTGGAGTACAGTGGCACAATCATAGCTCACTGCAACCTTGAACTTTTGTGCTCAAGTGATTCTCCTGCCTCAGCCACCTGAGTAGCCAGTACTACAGGTACATACTACCAACCATGCCTGGCTAGTTTTTTTGTTGTAATTGTTGAATTGGGGGGGGTCTCACTATGTTTCCCAGGGTAATATCAAATTCCTAGCCTCAAATGAGCCTCCTGCCACAGCCACTCAAAGCACTGGGATTATAGGTGTTACAGTGTTCAATTTTTTTTTTTTGAGTCAGAGTCTCACTCTGTCGCCCAGGCTGGATTGCAGTATCATGTTCACAGCCGCCACAGCCTCAACCTGCTGGGTTCAGGTGATCCTTCTGCCTCAGCCTTCCAAGTAACTGAAACTATAGGCACATGCTACCACACCAGGCTAATTTTCTGATATATTGTAGAGATGAGGTCTCACCAGGTTGCCCAGGCTGGTCTTGAACCCATGGGCTCCAGCAATCCTCTCACCTCAGCCTACCAAAGTGCTGGGATTACAGGCGTAAGCAACCTTGCCTGGCCTCAATTTCTTAATTTGGGTTATGGTTACATGGTATTCACTTATCAGTATTATTATTCTTTTTTTTTTACTTGGAGTCTCACTTTGTCACCCAGGCAGAAGTGCAGTGGCATGCTCACAGCCACTGCAGCCTTGACCTGCTGGGTTCAGGTGATCCTTCAGCCTCAGATTTCCAAGTAGCTGAAACTACAGGCGTGCGCCACCACACCTAGCTAATTGTTTGATTTATTGTAGAGATGAGGTCTTGCCAAGTTGCCCAGGCTGGTCTCGAACCTGTGGGCTCAGGCAATCCTCTCACCTCGGCCTCCCAAAGTGCTGGGATTATAGGCATGAGTCACCGTGCCCGGTCTTCAGTATTATTATCATTGAAAATACACTTATGCTGGGAGTGGTGGCTCATACCTGTAATCCCAGCACTTTGGGAGGTGCAGCTGAGAAGATTGCCTGAATCCGGAGGCTTGAGACCAGCCTGGGCAACTTGGGCAACTTATTGAGACCTCGCCTCCATAGTAAATCAAAAAAATTAGCCAGGTGTGGTGGCACACACCTGTGGTTTCAACCACTTGGAAGGCAAAGGTGGAAGGATTGCTTGAGCCCAGCAGGCTGTGGCTGTGGTGGTTGTGAGTGTGTCACTGCACTCCAGCCTGGGTGACAGAGTAAGACATCTACTCAAAAAAAAGAAAAAAAAGAAAACATACTTATGTTCTATATATTCTTCTGTATATATAATATATATTCCACAATTTAAAAATGAACAAAAAAATTTTTTTTAAAAATAGCACAGTACACCTGTAGTTCTGGCTACTTGGAAGGCTGAGGTGGAAGGACCACCAGAGTCCAGCAGCTCAACGCTGGGGTAGCTGTGAGTGTGCCACTCCACTCCAGCCTGGGTGACAGAGTGAGAATCCAACAACAACAACAAAAATAGCACAATGTGGAGGTAAGAATATTTAGAGCTGGAAGCAGCCTTGGAAGCTATCTTGTCCAACTACCTCACTAAAGCAGCCAAAACGGAGGACCAAAGAAGTTAAGTAACTTGCTCAAAGTAATTCAGTGAATTACAGAGCCTAATCTACAACGAGGGTAGGACTCCTTCCTATCAGGTGCTCCTATTGCAGTCCCATTCTGATTCATCCATTCAGTCCTAGTTTCCTACTGTATCTGTGAACTGCATACATCATAAAACTCACTTATGTTTAGCATTTTTTTCCTCCTAAATTTAATGTTTTTGTTGTGGGAAAAGCTCAGAAGAGACAGCCTCTACTTCACAGATATTCCAAATACTTAGTCAAAATATCTAGGAGTAGAGAAATAGAAAACTATTTCTCTGGTTAATTGCAGCTCTCCTGCTTCTCCATTCCCCACAGTGACTGCTCCAATATGCAGGCTGACTTTTGGGCCTCTGAGTTACAAAAAAAAGGTTAGAGTCTGAGAGTTGATAAAAGAAAACTCTTCGACTTCTTTGGTCAAGCACAAGTTCTCTTCTGGGAAAGTGAGCTCTTCTGCCACCTCATGACACAAGATGAAAATAGCAATCCCTCAGATTCATTCCTACTCCTGCTCCAAGGAGGCAGTACTGTAACATGACATCTAGGAACTAATCTACAGCACGTTTCAAACAGAACTGGAGGGAACGGCCTGATTCCACAAGGAAGCAGAGAATCATGTAATCATGTTAAGGAAACAGTAAACAAAAATCATAAAACCCATTCTGATTCATCCGTTCAGTCCTAGTTTCCTACTGTATTCCAGGGGTCATATCTCTAAACTGCATGCAACATAAAACTCACGTTATAGTTTTTTTCCTCCTAGATTTGATGCTTTTGTTGTGGAAAAAGGAACTCTGCAAATGAGGTCCTTCTGCTCTATCTCCTGTGCTAGAAGAATCAAGAAATTGTAGCAGGAAAAAAGGAACAGAATATACAACGATTTGCTCTGGACCAAAAAAGATTTGAGGCACTTATGTTCCCTTAGTCAGTGGCTGCATTTCTCGGCTCTCACAAAAAATTTCTGAAAAAAGTTATCTAAACTTTTTCACTTCCAATTCTTTCTCAACCGACTCCTCTTCCACCCCATTTACTGGACTGCTGTCACAAAATTGCCAGGTCCACTGGATATTCTGTCTGTATTATACACAACCTCTCAACATCTGACTACTTCTTCCTTGAAATACCCTCCTCTGTTGGCTCACGTGGCATCTACTCCCCAGGTTTTCTTAGCTTAGATGTTACGTCCTCAGGAAAGTCTTCCCTGACCACTTTGCTTAAAGTGGCCTCTGCCAGTAATCCTTCACCTCATAGCTCTGTTTGCTTCTTTATAGCAACTAATAACAACTTTTTACTAGTCTAGCATTTCTTCTTATTCTTCCACATTTCAGGCAACATGTCCTTCAGTGACATCTCTTGCTTTTATGTTTCCCCACCAAGACTTCCCTTGATCCTCAATTTAGCCAGATTTCAAGCTGTATTAAAGTGTCAGAAAACAGGATAGTATTTAAATGATGATTTGACTCAAATCTCATGAACTCTCTTATGGAAAGTCTATTGAATCAGTCTCCCTTTAAATCATTATCAATCAGAATTTCAGTCTCTAGAACCTTCTCATGCATAGCTAAACCCAAGTTGCCTCCAATGGAGTACACTTACAGAGAACACTTTCTACAGTGGTTAGAAAGACTGCAGAGGCTTAGGACTTAGGTAAAGATCTGAGTAGATCTTCATTTATGATCCATATAGTTATGCTATCACAAAGTCTACAGAGTATTACACTAGATGTATACTCTTTGTTAAAAGACACAATTTTGGGGAAATCTTCAACAACAATTATCTGTCTAGGAAAACTTTCCCAAAATGCAGACAGTACTACTCATCTACTGTATTTAGCTCTTCCTCACGAACTCTCAGTCCTAATAGTCATAGAGATGTTGCCCACCAACAGTCACTTCACTATTCAGGAATGTAAAAATGTGCAAAACTTGATAGTTACGTTTGTGTTAATGTGAGTTTATCTGTATAACTGTGAATGAATTCTAGAGATCATATAGTCAGGACTCTCAATTTACAGAAGATAAAATTGAGATCCCGAGAAGTCAAGTTATTTTCTCAAGGTGATATAGCTATTAAAGGGCATGTGCTAAGACTCAATTCTGTTGATTCTTAGTCCTAGTTTCCTGCTCTATTCTAAAATTATATTCCTTAATATAAATATCCACCTCTCTTTATGTTGGTACATAAATCTATGTGCCTGTGTTAGTATGCTTATAAATGTCTACGTGTCTATCTGCAAGTATTTGTAAAGCATATCACTGGGTGTTTATGCCCTTTCTGCTAGAGAAACCTCTAGGTAATTACAGTTGTCCATGTCAGCACTAGCAGTGAAGTCAGAAGAAGACCTGCTGAGTAAATCATTAATAAGCACATTTGGCCCTTTCTCCAATCAGTTCTATTCTTGGGTCCTCAGGAAATGGGGCAAAATAAACAGGGTGAAACCACAGTTCCCAGGGTCAAACTTTTTTCCAGTTGCAGTAAAGGAACTAGAGACAAAGCTATAAAGAGCTGTGACAGACTTGCAGTGGACCGTCTCTACAATGAGCATGTGCTCAAACTAACATGGATACCCTCTTGGTCTTCAGTCTAATCATTGCATCCTATGATGCCAACAAGAAAGGTATGTATTTCTCTAGCTTAACCTCCTGGATAATCCAAAGAGAGGCCTAGAAAGTGTTTGGGGTCTCTTCCACGAGACAGAGATATAGCTGATACCCAATAAGCTATACTTTCCAGGAGTAATTCCACGTATCCTCTCGCCTCTAAGCAGAACAGCAGCTTATTCAATTCAGAGAGACAGCTGTTTCACGTTAAGTCTTCAGAGAATGTGATGTGTTCTTCTGTCTTGTTCATGTAACTAACATCAAAAGTCCTTTCGCTGCTGGAGGCTTTTTTTTTTTTTTTTGAGTTGGAGTCTCACTCTGTT